GTGCTACACCTGCCCCCATACCTCCTCCCTCACCCCCATCCCAGGCCCCAAGAAGACTTTCCACATCAAGCAGATGTTCACCTGCACATCTGCCAATGTGGTATACTGCATCCGCTGTACCCGGTGTGGCTTCCTCTACATCGGGGAAACCAAGCGGAGACTCGGGGACCGCTTTGCAGAACACCTACGCTCGGTTCGCAACAAACAACTGCACCTCCCAGTCGCGAACCATTTCAACTCCCCCTCCCATTCCTCAGACGACATGTCCATCCTGGGCCTCCTGCAGTGCCACAACGATGCCACCCGAAGGTTGCAGGAACAGCAACTCATATTCCGCTTGGGAACCCTGCAGCCCAATGGTATCAATGTGGATTTCACAAGTTTCAAAATCTCCCCTCCCCCCACCGCATCCCAAAACCAGTCCAACTCGTCCCTGCCTCCCTAACCTGTTCTTCCTCCCACCTATCCCCTCCTCCCACCTCAAGCCGCACCTCCATCTCCTACCGACCAACCTCATCCCGCCCCCTTGACCTGTCCGTCCTCCCTGGACTGACCTATCCCCTTCCTAACTCCCTACCTACACTCACCTTTACTGGCTCCATCCCTGCCTCTTCGACCTGTTTGTTTCCTCTCCTCTATCCCTCTTCTATCCGCCTCCCACTCTCTCCCTATTTATTGCAAAACCCCCTTCCCCTCCCCCTTTTCTGATGAAGGGTCTAGGCCCGAAACGTCAGCCTCTCTGCTCCTATGATGCTGCTTGGCCTGCTGTGTTCATCCAGCCCTGCACCTTGTTGTCTCTGTTAGAAGTTTTTATGTTTCAGTAAGATTTCCTATCATCCTTCTAAGCTCTAGTGACTACAGGCTCAGTTGAACCAATCTCTCCTCATAGTATAGCCCTGCCATCCCTGGTATCAGCCTAGTGAACCTTTGCTGCACTATCTCTATGGCAAGCATACTCTTTCTTAGGTAGGGAAACCAAAACGGCACAGAATACTCCAGGTGCTGTCTCATTTCAAGGCCCTGTATAACTGCAGTAATACATCTGTACTTCTACACTAAAATCCTCTTGCAGTGAAGGCCAATATACATTTACTTTCATTGACTGGTGTGCAAGGCCTCCCGGATCCCTCTGGATATCCTCACTTCCTACTCTTTTTTCTCATACCAGAGTTTATAACTTCACATTTAACTATGTTGTACTGCATCTGCCATGTTTAAGCCAACTCACTCAACTTGTCTAAATCACCTTCTATCCTCCTTGCAACTCTGCCCAGTATTTTGTCATCAGAAAACTTTGAAATGTTCCTTTAGGTTCCCTTATCCAGGTCATTTATATATTATGAATAACTGAGGCCCAGGCACTGAACCTGCGGTACACCCACTCACCACTGTCTGCCACTCCAAGCAAAAGACCCATTTATTTCCACATTCTGATTCCTGTTTGTCAACCAATTTTCAATCCACACCGATACCTCACCCTCAATCCCAAGTGCTTTTACTTTGCCCACTAACCTCTTACGAGGGGCTTTATGAAAAGCCTTCAGAAAATTCAAATACATCTCATCCACTGGTTCTCCTTTATCTTGTTAGTTACATAATCAAAAACCGTCAGATTTGCCTTTCTTAAACTCATGCTGGCTTTGGCCAATCCCGTTAATGCTTTCCAAATGCTTTGTTATCATGTCTTTTATATAGACTTAAGCATTTTCCCTGCTATTAATGTCAGGTTCACTGGTCAGTAATTTTCTATTTTATCTCCTTTTTTTAAATAGTGGGTTAGATTTGCTACTCTACATTCTATAGAAACTGCTCCAGAGTCTATGGAGGTTTGAAAGATGACCGTCAATACATTCAATTATGGGCAGCAATTGTGCCAAATTTTGCAACTCTGGGGAAAATTGATGCACAGAGAGATCTGGGTGTTCAGGCCCATTGTAGCCTGAAGGTGGCAACACAGGTCAATAGAGTGGTCAAGAAGGCATACGGCATGCTTTCATTCATTGGACGGGGTATTGAGTACAAGAGTTGGCAGGTCATGTTACAGTTATATAGGACTTTGGTTCGACCACATTTGGAATACTGCGTACAGTTCTGGTCACCACATTACCAAAAGGATGTGGATGCTTTGGAGAGGGTGCAGAGGAGGTTCACCAGGATGTTGTCTGATATGGAGGGCGCTAGCTATGAAGAGAGGTTGTGTAGATTAGGATTATTTACATTAGAAAGACGGAGGTTGAGGGGGGACCTGACTGAGGTCTACAAAATCATGAGGGGTATAGACAGGGTGGATAGCAAGAAGCTTTTTCCCAGAGTGGGGGACTCAATTACTAGGGGCCACGATTTCAAGGTGAGAGGGGAAAAGTTTAAGGGAGATATGCGTGGAAAGTTCTTTACTCAGAGGGTGGTGGGTGCCTGCTACACGTTACCAGTGAAGGTGGTAGAGGTGGGCGTGATAGCGTCATTTAAGATGTATCTAGACAGATACATGAATGGGCAGGGAGCAGAGGGATACAGATCCTTGGAAAATAGGCGACAGGTTTAGATAGAGGATCTGGATTGACGCAGGCTTGGAGGGCCGAAGGGCCTGTTCCTGTGCTGTAATTTTCTTTGTTCTTTTGTTCTTAACTCTCTCCCTCGTGGCTCTGTGTGTGTGTCTCTAGCACAAGGATTGGAGAAGTGCCAGAAGGAACCAGAACCACCAGCTCCTTCTCCTGGTCAATTAAAGAGGAAACAAATTGTGAACGTGCAGCTTGTGGGCGATTCTAAAACAAGAGGTCACTGTTTAAAAATAATGAGTCAACCACTTAAGGCAATGATGAGAATCTTTTTCTCACAGAGGTCTGCAGATCTTTGGAACTCTTCTTCAATAGTAAGCAGAAGCAATGTCTTTAAACATTATTAAGGCAGAGGTAGTTAAACACATGTAAAGCAAGAGGGTGAAAGGCCACAAAGAGTAAGCAGGAAAATGGGGTAATCAGCCACCAGCATTTTAGTGGATAGCAGAGCAGGCTGAAGGGGCAGAGTGGCCTACTCCTAATTTGTATATTCGTTTGCCAGTTGTGTTATTATTCATATATTTTTGCTTGTGTGTAGATTACTGACTATTTGTGCACTCTCTAATTGACCAGTAGAAGATGCTGGTGACCCTCCTTCTGGCACTTCTGTCGTCTATACCTGGAGTGCCACCCAGGATTTGCAAGCTTTTTGCCCCACTGTTGCCCTACTCCTATATATGTACCCCCAGCCCTCCCCATGCTGTCCTCTCCCTTGAGGTACTGACACATCCTGAAATACAGAATCCAAGATATCCTCTGCGTTCCTCCCAACAGGTTAGCCTGGTGTATCACATTGAGGAAATGCATGCTGGCAGGATGTGAGGTTTAATAGGGCACTGGTTGCTGAATAGTGCTTAGGAAAGGGAACCCAATAAGAACGCTGAGGTGAGTTGCAGCCTTGATGCTGTTAACACAGCACTGCTTCTGCAGCTGGAAGCTTTAACTCTGTGTGGGTCAGTAACATGTTTTAGGGTTGTTTCAGCATTGCATCTCCTCTGCTCCCCATAGTTAGAGAGATTTGTTGTGCCCATTCTCGCTGGAATGAATTTAGTCTCCTTCAGTGATAACTAAATCAGTAGCTGAGACCAGTCCTTTCCACTAGACACGAGAAAAAAATGGAGACTACACCCCAACCCAACTCCTTTAACAATCCTTTGATTTATTTAAAACAAAACACAGGAAAGTCATTGTTGTTGCATTCATCATTAGTTTTATGACTTTTTATTAAGATGAAAAGGAAGATTCCCAAGATCCCGAAGTGTTCCTACACACAAGTCGAGATGGGTGAGTGCTGTATAACTGTCGCTATGTTGTCTGTGTTTGAAGATTAATGTGCTCACTGTCTTCTGTGCATCTGTGTGAAGGAATTTGGTTACAGATGTTATAAAGCTGAGGTTGACCGCCATCTGAGAACTAAAACTGAAACATCCAAAGAGGAGCACCTTGCCTTATAATCTGTAAAAGGAGTATGAAAAGTGGTGTAACTTGCTTTTCAGCAACTTCTAGTGGTTAAATAAAATAAATCCCTGACACTCACTTTAAAATCAACAACTAACAATTTACTTATCTAACTCTAACAGTGAACAAATTAACTAAACTATTAACAAACCGAATAAATCTCTTCTAACTACTAACGATTCCCAAATAAAGAAAGATTCTAATGGTATGCTGTTCCAATAAATATAAGTCCCACTTTAAAAAAAAAAAAGTCTCTCAAAATTACAGCCAGGTTACATGTCCTCCAGAATGTTCTGTGCCTTCTACGTAGATTCTTCTGTCAGGAATATTAACTAGTTGTGCCATGGCTACCGCTGTTATTTTGATGGTGCTTTCTGTAAGACATAGAGGAGGCTGTGAGAGCCAGAATTCTCTTGAGAGCTGAGGGCTGCTAACTAAGGCGGATGGCACTTACCTCTGGAGCTTTGTCCAACTTCCCCTTTCTTTTATATCCTTGATAACTTATCAATATTTCTTACAGTAGAATTGGTCCTATGTTGTCAAAACCATAAGATTTAAAATTAATTGGTTTTTGGTATCTAAGTGCCTGGTTCAAATTGATTGGCTAAATTCAAACGTCTGTTGTCTTGGTAAAAACTGTTGCTTGGCCTGTTAACTGTATGGCCTTTCGAAACAAATGTTTCAGTTTGGGTGCTCTCTGTACTTGCAAACTTCAAGCTGCTGCTCACAGGCATCCGTTTTTAAATCTCTAAGCACAGAAAAAGCACATCATCTTTTAAAGGGAACACACAATGCTTTCCCCTTTAACATCTTACAAACACCAAAACGTATCTTCCTGCCTCCCAATTCACAAGTACTGGACCCAGCTTCACAACACAGGCCATATAGAGAAAATGTTTTCAGTTGTGGGATAGACTAGAACTAGGGACTATAAATTTAAAAACAGTGACTAAAATGTCCAAATGGGAAGTCAGAAGAAATTTCTTTACCCAGTGAGTGGTGAGAATGTGAAACTTAAAGTGGCTGAGATGAATAGCAGGGGTGTTTTTAAGGGAAGCTGGGTAACGAAGGAAGGATTAGAAGGATATTTGATGAGGTTTGAAGAAGAGGGGTGGGAGAAATGGAATATCAGTATTGGCACTGACTAGTGGGGCCAAATGGCCAGTTGTATTATATATATACTTTTAAACAACCTATCAGACAGGCTGTTACACAACTCTGGAGCAAGTAGGACTTGAACTCATGGGCAAGAGGTAAGGGCACTGCCACTGTCACGAGACTCCTTCAGTTTGTACTGTAGACTTCACCAAATTCTGTGTTTCGGGTGATTTATTGTATGTGGTTTCTGTGTGTGGACGTGTGTTTCTATTTGGAATCTTTCGCAGGTATTTTACCAGATTGAGGGAATCTTGCCCAGCTGATTTTATCAGTTGGAGGCAAGCTAAAATAAAAGCAATAATATCTTATAGTTATTGAACTTGCAGTTTTTATTTTGCACTTTTTATCTTGATAAACTGACATGTTCTTTATTCTCTTTAGTTTGATACCAGGTTCTGAGTCTGCACAAAGAAAAGGGATTGAAGCTGATCCTCAGATTTCTGAGAGAAAAATAAGGAGAATTTCCCCTGACCTTTCACCTCCCCGGCGGGGGCGCCACGATTCCCCTGACCTTTCACCTCCCCAACGGGGGCGCCACGATTCCCCTGACCTTTCACCTCCCAGGAGGGGGCGCCACGATTCTCCTGACCTTTCACCTCCCAGGAGGGGGCGCCATGATTCCCCTGACCTATCACCTCCCCGGCGGGGGCGTCACGATTCACCTGACCTTTCACCTCCCGGGAGGGGGCATCATGATTGTCCTAACCTTTCACCTCCCCGGAGGGGACGCCATGATTCTCCTGACCTTTCACCTCCCAGAAAAAGGTTTTCTAAAAACACAGAGAAACTTATCACATCTACAGATCTGCCTCCTAGAAGAACTCGTAATAGTTCCCCTGACGTATCACCAGCTCGTTGTAAACGTCACGACTCCTCGGATTCCTCGTCGGCTGGGAATGCTGCACACTCTTCTGACTCTGATTTGTCTCCTCCTCGGAAAAGACAAGGTAGTTCCTTGGACTCCCAATCAACTGCAACAAGGAGGGGAGCTAACACACAAGATATTTGAGTATTAGCCAGGCCCTGGTGTGGCTTTCTGGCTTTGCAATAATTGTTTCAAAAGTTTAGAATGCTACATCATTGAATTTTACAGAGGGAGGTTATTCAGTCTGCAGTGCCTATGAGGCCTGTTTGAAAGGACTATCCTATTATTTCCAGAACTCCTGTCTCTTTTATAAAAACATGCAAATTAGAAGCAGGAATAGACCTCTCAACATATTGACCCTATTCTGCCTTTCGGTTAGATCATGTATGTTATTAAAAATTATGCAAATATTCTATGGAAATGAAATGCTTTGTGTTGCTGACACTTGGTGCTGTTAACCTGCTTGCTGCTTTAGCAATATTTCTAAGTAGAGGAATTAAAACATTAATTTTCCTGCCCAGGTTTGTCCCCCATTAAACAAAAGAACAGGAGAACCACTGGGTCTTCAAGGAGATGGCAGCACTCTGATTCTGACCTTTCACCTCCGCGAAAGAGGTGTCAGCATTCTTCTGACTCTGACTTGTCGCCACCACGGAGGAAGAGGCCAGAGGCATCCGATACAGAATATAAACTCTGCTCAAACGGCTCTGAGCTGTTGCCTGCTGGCCACAGACTGCCTTCCAGGAAGCTGGTTTCCTTGAGAGGACAAGGGGCCAGCTGGGACATGAGTCCAAGCAGAAAGGTAAGTGGTAAATGGTTGGGAGCAACAATCAACTTGTCAGCTGATGAACAGTTACACAGTCATAGGGTCATGCAGCACAGAAACTGACCCTTTGGTCCAACCAGTCCATGCCGATCACGTTCCCAAACTAAACTAGTCCCACCTGCCTGCATTTGGCCCATTTCCCTCCAATCCTTTCTTATTTGTCTATTTGTCCAAATATGTTTTAAATGTTGTAACTATGACTGCATCCATTTTCACTGGTAGTTTGCTCGACACGAGCCATTCTCTGTAAAAATGTTGCCCCTCGTATCCTTTATAAATCTTTCTCTTCTCACCTTAAAAATATGCTTCCTAGATGTGAACACCCCCAAACCCTCCACCCAAGAGAAAAGACCCATGTCATTCACCTTATCCATGCCCCTCATGATTTTATAAATTTTTTTAAGATCACCTCTCAAGAGTTGAGACTTCACAGGAAATTGTGAGGAGGACAGCGGCACACAGAAGTTGGTCTCAGTCAGCATTAGAACATCGAATTCTCAAGATGTTTTCTGTGAAGTACCATGGGGTGTTTTATCACAGTGAAGGTGGGATTTAGAGGCAAGTTCCTATTCAACAGATAGTTTTGATCCTGAAAACCAAGTAAACAGTCTTTTGTCCTTACCAGATCCGTGCTGATACCATTAGTGTGTTTCACTGAGGCAAAGGTTTATTTATCAACAAAAGCACTGTGTTCATAAACATTTATCTAGTTGCTTTTAGTTTTCCTCCTTACTTTGTGGGAGCTATTCTTTGAATGACTGGTTCTCTTCCCCTAACTTGGGGACTCTCCAGTGCCATGTTCCTGTTCCTAATTTGAATAAACTTGAATGAGCTTTATTGTCACAATGAGTACAGTGCAAGTCGTCACTTACAGCAACATCTTACATACAAAGATACCTAGAATCTTAGTTACAATGCAGAAAATAAGGAATTTGAACAATTGCCACTAGAATCAGGAGTGAAAAATTTAAAATATGTTTATGCTCTGTCTCTCTCTGACCCCTCGGTGACACACAGGCGTGTAAACCCCAAGGGTGATGATGCATCCTCAAGGCTCTGACTGTACTGTCCAAATGGGTTATTATATTTGTTATTTGCTTATTTGTACTGTTTAAATGTTGTGTGGTTAAGCATTTAGATAGAAAGAGTCATATGCTATTGGTTCAGTATTGGATTCTTCCTCAGTTAAGAAGCTAAGGTCTATCATTGTCAATAGCTGGGGATTAAGAGGAATTACAACATTAAACTTGAGAGGGCCCAGTTCATTTCTGTACCTCCACACTCCAAGTCCTCAGTTTGTTCATCTGAAGACTGTTCATGACGGTTAAAGCTGCCTTTTGGGAGATTGAGCACTCTGGTTTTGTTTAGGAAAGAGAAGAGAGGGGTGAGCTGACCACAATAGCCAAAGTGGTTTCTAAGGAAGACTTAGCAAGATGCTTCCAGTGACTGTAGGACCAGAAGAAATAGGGCAGGTGTAGGCCATTTGGCCCTGCAAGCTCCACCATTCAGTAAGATCAAGACTGACCTGACATTCTTCATGCCTGCTTTCCTGTCCTTTCCCTGTAACTCCTGATGCCCCGACTGATCAAGAATCTATTTCAACCATAAATGTATATAAGGATTCTGCCCCCACAGCTCTCTGTGGCAAGGAGTTCCAAAGGCACTCACCCCTCTGAGACAAGAAACTTCTCATCATCTCGGTCTTAAATTAATATCCCTTTATTTTGAAACTATGACCTCTTGTCCTAGACTCTCTACTGAAGGGAATCATCCTTTCAGCCTTTACCTGGTCAAACCCCTGTAGAGTACAATATTTTTTTAATGAAATCACTTCTCATTCTTTTAAACTCCAGTGAGTAGAGTGCCAAACTGTTTAATCTTCTCTCATAAAACAATACCTCTGTACCGGGGATCAACCCAGTGAACTTTCTCTGAACTGCCTCCAGTGAAATACGATCTTTCTTTAAACAAGCCGACCAGAACTGCTCTCAGTACTCCAGATGTGGTGTCACCAGCACCTTGTACAGTTGCAGCAAGACTTCCCTACCCTTATATTCTAACCCCGTTGAAATAAGGGCTAACATTCCATGAGCCTTCCTGATTACCTGCTGCCCCTGCGTGTTAGCTTTCTGTGTTTCATGCACAAGTCTCCGTAAGTCACTTTGTGTTGCAGCTTTCTGCAGCTTTCCTCCATTTATACGCCATATGCCAACGTCTTACCCATTTCTTTAAACTGTCAATAACTCTCTGGAAACTCTTTGCATCCATCTCACAACTTGTCTTTCCACCTTTTTTTGTGTCATCTGCAAATGAAGATCAAGGAGCTAACTGATGAGAGATGGAGAGTGGAGGTGCTGGTGTTTGCTATGACGCTGTATGGTCTTGGTCTTGTTTTTGAGAAATCAGCACCAAAACAATCTGTGAAATTTTGATGGACTGACAGTTTCTTTAAATGTGTTTCAGTCACAAGGGAATGAGATGCTTTCAGGGGGTCAGACTGGTCTGATATCAACAGATATTCTGAGGAAAGAGAAAGAACATCGGAGGCAAAAGGAGCGAGCAGCAGAACATTTGGCAGGTATTGACAGAGCTCAAGGCCATCCCCCACAGGCGCATGGTTACACCTTACTGTGTTATTCTTTTCCCCTGATGATTCTGCCTCTCTGGGTGTCACTATCCCTGCATGACCTCCACCCCCAGCCCTACAACACCTATCTTACCCTCTTGGCTTCTTACTTTTTATGTTTGAAGCTGAGTAGTATCTACTGGATATTCAACTGTGGAAGTAATCATCCTGGGTGTTAACAAAGAGCCCAACAGGCAACACTGAGTCTTACTGTAGCTCCAACATAGAATCATACAGTACAAAAGAGACCCTTCAGCACATTGGGTTTGTACTGCCGAAAATATGCTAAATCTACAGTTGCGTGGCCTTACATGTGATGACATTTTAGATGCTCGTCCATGTATTTTTTAAAGGTTGTGAGATTTCCTGCCTCAACTATCCATCCAGCCTGTGCATTCCACACCCCACCACCCTCTGCGTGAGAGAACTTTCCTCAAGTTCCCTCAAAACCTCCTGCCTTGCCCCTTAAAATTATACCCTCATGTTATTGACCCTTCAACTAAGGGGAACAGCTACTTTCTATCCACCCTGTCCATGCCCCTCATAATTTTATACACGTCAATCAGTTCCCCCTCAAATTTCTTGCTCCAAAGAAAACAACCTCAGCTCATCCAGCATCTCTTCGTCGCTAAGATGCTCCAGTTAACATCCTGGTGAATCCCCTTTAGACCTCCTCTGGTGCAATCACATCTGCAGTACAATGACTAGAGGGAATTGGATATTTATCTGGAAAGGGTTGGGATGGGACTACATGAGTGGCTGGGCAAGGTTTTGACAGGCCACATGGCCTCCTATTCTGTATCCATTTTATGCCACTATTAAAGAGTGGAAAGGAAGTTGGAAGACATTAATATACAAAGGGGAGCATTCAGCATTTTACAGAATGAGGCAGGGACTACCTTGTCTTTTGTGAGAAAATTGGAGAGATGATTTTAGCTAAATGATGGCTAGTATCCTGAAGCCAAATACTTGTTCAGGAATAATGTGAATAAAGGGAGATCTGCAAGGTGTTTTAGACAAGGATTGCAGGAAATGTCCTGAAATTTTCTTGGGCAAGTTAAACTTGAGGTAATGAAGTAAGTGTGTAATTATTGGAAGTTGGCCGGTCCCATCTACCTGTTGTGTCTTTACGTTGTTGTTTCACACTAGTAATTGCTGTAGGAAATTGTGATGGACAGCTGCTACCTCTCAGCTACCCTAGAGCAACCTGGGCTATGTTCTCCTTACTTCCATGGAACTGTTACATTGCTGCTGTCTGGTCCATCCCTGTGGCAGTAACTAATGATGTGAAATCCCTTGGAATGAGGGTGTTATACATTTGCTGGGGCAACCGTCCGATGGTGCTGAGATCTTTTCTCCTTCTGCTTTAAAGATGATTCGAGGCATGCTACTACTATCTTCCGAGACAAATCAGGAAAAAAGAGGGACTTAGACCAGGAGCGAATCGAGCATAAGAAGAAGGAAGAAGAAAAAGCGGCAAAGCAAGAAAAATACGCCCAGTGGGGCAAAGGGTGAGAGTAAGAGAGCATTCATAACCTGAGCATCTGCCACCGCCTGAGCTGTGGGAGACTGTAGCAAAATTTAACTGCGATGGAGTTTGCCTGTTCTACCACCTCATTAACACTAGAACAAAGAACAGTTCAGCACAGGAACAGGCCCTTCGGCCCACCAAACCTGAACTAACACATGCCACCTTTCTAAACTAAAAACCTTCTGCCTCTGTGCAGTCCATATTCCTCTATTCCCTACATATTCATGTGTTTTTCAAGGTGCCCCTTAAACATTGTTCTTCTATCGCTTCTACCACCTTCTCTGGCAACAAGTTCCAAGCACTTATCGTCCTCTGATTTTAAAAAAAAGCACCTGCCACTCACATTTCTTTTAAGCTATCCCCCTTTTACCTTAAACCTATGTCCCCTAGTAATTAACATTTCTACCCTGGGAAAAATACTCCAACCAGCCATTCTATTCATGTCTCTCATAATTTTGTAAATTCCATTCAGGTCACCCCTCAGCCTCTGATATTCAAGTGAAAATAAACCAAGTTTATCTAATCTCTCCTCACAGCCAATGCCCTCCAAACCAGGCAATATCCTGGTAAATCTTTTTTTCTACCCTGTCCAAAGCCTGCTCATCGTTGTGGTAGTGTGGTGACCAGAAATGTACATAATATTCTAAATGTGGCCTAACTAAAGTGTTATACAGCTATAACATCAATTGTTCTATACAACTGCAACTTGCCAAATTTTATGGTGTAATGCCCTGACAAATGAAGTAAGCATACCATATGCTTTCTTGACCACCTCGTCCACTTGTGTTGCCACTGTCGGGGAACTGTAGACCTGTACGCCTAGAGCCCACCTGCGTTAGACCTTCCAAAATGCATCACCTTGCATTTGCCCGGATTAATTCCATCTGCCAATTCTCTGTCCAAGTCTGCGGCCTATCTATATTTGCTGCATTCTCTGACAATCCTCCTCATTATCCACAACTCGCCCAATCTTTGAGTCATCTGCAAACTTACTAATCAGACCACCTACATTCTCTTCCAAATCATTTTATATATGTTACAAACAACAGGGGTCCCATCATTTATCCCTGCAGAACACCACTGGTCAAAGATTTCCAATCAGAAAATTACTGACTGCTACTCTGTCTTTTATGACCAAGCCAGCTCTATATCCATCTTACCAGCTCACTGCGTTTCCTATGTGACTTCACCTTTTGTGTCAGCCTGCCATGAGGGACCTAGTCAAACAACTTGCCAAGATCTATATAGACAACATCTACCACCCTGCTTCATCAATTATCTTTGCCACTTCCTCAAAAAACTCAATCAAGTTTGTGAGACACGTTCTTCCCCACACAAAGCCATGCTACATATTGCTAATAAGTCCATATTGTTCTAAATGTAAGTAAATTCTATCTCCAAGAATCTTCTCCAATAATTTCCCTATCGCTGACTTAAGGCTCACTGGCCTGAAATTACCTGGATTATCCCTGTTGCCCTTCTTAAAAAAAGGAACAATGTTGGCTATTCTCCTGTTCTCTGGGACCTCTCTTATGACTAAAGAAGACGCAAAGATTTTGTACAAGGCCCCAGCAATTTCCTCCCTCAGTATTCCTGGATCGATCCCATCAGGTCCTGGGGACTTGTCTGCCTTAATGCTTCCAAAATGCCCATCACCATCTCCCCCTGCTCACTCTCTCTGCTGCCCTGCTCACTGTCTCTGTTGCTCCCCCCCGCCCACTCCCTGTCTCTGTTGCTCTCCCCTCCCCGCCCCGCTCACTCTCTCTGTTGCTCCTCCCCCTGCTCACTCTCTCTGTTGCTCTCCCCTCCCCA